AATGTTTATGCGTACAATTAAGTAAATTTTCTTTTGGTGTACTTTGGTAAAACCACATTATTTTATTTTAATGGCATACCAAATAAATTAATAAAACTAAATTTAAGATTATAACCGTATTTTTATTTTTCTCCAACACAACTCTGAACGTATGTATGTTTCTGTGCTCCTCCAATCTCTATAGTAACTTGTATTGGCGCGCTATCCCATCTGGTCCGGAGAGTTCTGGTGTAGAGTATCAACATTTAGAAGAGTTTTAACCTTGGTTCGGCGGTTGCCACTACAAATCAGTTGTGCTCACTTTTAATATAAGCTATAGCACAATTGAACATATGAATGACGTTATGAGGTGCAGTCTGGGAAAAAGTTAAATGGAATTAACTATTCTACTGTTACATCAGACACTACAAAATGAGATCTCAAAGAAATGTAATAAGAAGAGTATAGAAAATATTAGTATTATAACATACAATATGCTTATATTGTATTTATATTGTATATAATAAATCAAACAGTTATTAATGAAAAACCTATAAAATAAAATTATCCTATAAACTAAATATCGGTTATATATTAACTATTCTCAATCATATCTTTTTCTACTACATCGTTTCAGATCAGGGGTAAATCAGAATTTTGAGTAGCTTTTAGATTAATATTATAGGTTTCAAACGAAAAATAAGCTTCAGATATACTGTTATTATTATCTCTCGTAAAATTGGAAATAAAAATTGGTGTATATTCAATTTCGGATGGAACCTTAAATTTATTACGGTCTTAATTGAAATTTTTATTCTATTTTTATGTTTACCTAACCATTCAAAACGTTTGTTTCAAAATAGTCTTTAACATCAATCAAAATAAAAATTTATTCATTTATCATTGAAAATCGAAAAAGATAAAAAAACGTAAAAAATGTTCCACTGAATATTTTGACTATAGATTAAAATATTCGTACAAGTTTCAGCTTTGGTTTGATATACTATATAATCCTATATGCAGTAACTTCCTCGAAAAAAGTTATGGGGGCATATGTAGACTGATGTTTTGAGAAAAATCAAAATCAAATCAAAATAACAGGTTTTTAAAAGTAACGGGAAAATGGCACACAAAAAAAAATCAATGCGATTTTCGAGTTCTACCGAAAATTTCACAATAGAAAGTGTAGGTCACGTCTTTGGAAAGTTTTAGTTGCAAACTACTGTAATCACAGTTTCTCTTCGAATATTATTATTT